TCCCTTGGCTGTCTCAGGTTTCCACACAAGCGTTCTCCCCAGGGAAGAGGCCAACGGTGCCAACAATCATTTGTTTATTTTGTTTCTGGCTATACTGTAGAGACCTTTGTCAATAATGAAGTTGAATTCAACAGGCTTGGACACAATTCTTATCCTTCATGTAACAGCAAAACAAATACTGTTGGACAGAGAACTATCTGTAGAACTGTTAAACTAAAAAAGAAAGAAAAAAACCACTGAAACTCTGCCTGTGTTTCCAGCCCATCCTTTGCTCTGCATTTGTGCAGAGATGTTTAAAATTCCTTTACTGACGAATTTTTGAGAAATGTTAGGAAATGGAATATTGTTAAATGCAAATATCACCGAGAAAGTTCAAAGCAGACATTTGAGAGTAATTTTCCTAACCAATAACTCGCCTAAGAAATCAGACTTAATGGAGTAGGGGAGTATTGGATAGCAGAGGTGGAGAAACCTACCGAGAAGGGAAGCAGAGGGCATGGTGTACACTTTAGATAGTCTTGACCTGGACTAGCATCATTCAAAGAAAGCAGTTTCCTTTGTTTTGAGTCAAGCATGGCCTCCTTAACTCTGCTTTGGGTGCGGTGAATCTAAGCAATGTGATTTCTTATGAAAATTACATCTTCGTGTCTGAAATCCCTAGCTTATCAAATGGGTTCCTCCAGGTGCGTTGTTATAGTGACTGCTGCGGCACGGCTCTCTCTTAACTGAAAGCATCCTCACTCCCCAGAATGCAGCTATGTTTGTGGCAGTGGTACAGTCACTGGTGAATTAGACCGATTCATACTTATGCTGTTACTGCTTATTTTTTTATTTTTTTTTATTGAGTTTTACATTTTCCTTTGCTCCCCTTCCTGCCTCTCCTCTCCCCCTTCAACTCTTCCCCAAGATCCTCATGCTCCCAATTTACTCAGGAGATCTTGTCTTTTTCTACTTTCTACTTCCCATGTAGATTAGATCTATGTAAGTCTCTCCTAGGGTCCTCATTGCTGTCTAAGTTCTCTGGGATTGTGGTTTGTAGGCTGGTTTTCTTTGCTTTATGTTTAAAAACCACCTATGAGTGAGTACATGTGATAATTGTCTTTCTGTGTCTGGGTTTGCTTTCTAGTTCCATCCATTTTCTTGCAAAATTCAAGATGTCATTATTTTTATCTGCTGTGTAGTACTCCATTGTGTATGTACCGCATTTTCCAAATGGGAACACTTCTGCATTGCTGGTGGGAATGCAAGCTGGTACAGGCCCTTTGGATGTCAGTGTGGCTATTTCTCAGAAAACTAGGAAACAACCTTCCTCAAGACCCAGTAACACCACTTTTGGGTGTATACCCAAAGGATGCTCAATCGTGCACAAGGACATGTGCTCAACTGTGTTCATAACAGCTTTGTTTGTCAGAGCCAGAATCTGGAAACAACCCAATCGCTACTGCTTCTTTTTCTTGTACTTTCTTATTAATGGCAGCTCTCAAAATTTTGGAGAAGGTTTTCATTTCACCTTTTATTTTCTAGGATGTTTCAAGTCATTAAGATCTGAATGAGAGGGGTGGTAGGGACTGACCATGTCTACATAAGTTACAGTGGCACTGGGACAATGGCACCCGAGCTGTCTGTGGCAGTATACTGGCACTCAGAGATATTGAAGAGACATGTTTTGGTCACTATTAGGGCCTTCATCAAGTCATGGACAGGAGGATAACACTAAAAAATATCCAAGTTTATTCAGAGTTTGAAGTAAGCTAGAGTGCAGTGAAAGTTCTGCAGATGAATGCCAAGTCAAATTCTCCTTTGGTGACTTAGTACACCCTTCACACCCTTTCCCACAGAGTGCAGAAATGGCTTGCATTGTGAAAGTGTCAAAGCCAAAGAATGGTGTAGGTTCCATGTGGAAGCTCTCAGAGGCAGTTCTGTCTCTGGTGTAGGGTAGGAATGACCTTATAAATATTTGGGAAATACAATGTTTATATTACATCAGTATTTTCATAGGCCACACCCTCTCCAAAGCCAGTTTTATGCTCCAGAGACCCATACCACTTCCTGCCAGCTACTAACACAGCTTTGAAGTGTGACTGTAATGACTCAGGGTCATGAAACATTCTTTTCAGACTCATATCAATTTATCAGTTAATGCATCACTGCCCAAACACCCACAACATCCTGGGAGGTAGCGCAGAAGTAATGTTCAAGAATGTAGTCCTACCCATTTCTGTTTCCTTCAAACTAAGCCCACGAAATGATCTTTGTTGGGGTTCATTTCTGTTTTTTATAAGGAATACAGTCAAGATGTGTGAGGAAGCTGGTCTCAGTCTTTGGAGGGAAGCCATACTCTGAATGTATTTTATTTGGAAACCACACAAAAGTCATAGCAAGGAAACCATGCAGCAAGAATCACACCGCCCACGTACAAGTGTGGAACCAGGAGTCACCATTCTGTAGCACAGTTTTCAATGATGAGCCAGATGGTGTCCTATCCAAGGTCTATTAGTTACTTCAGGGTGGAAAATTGACTGGCTCTGAGACGACTGGTTATTTTGGTCCAATAAGATGATCCACATTCACAGATCTCACCATAAAGCTCACTGTAAATCACCTCCAGTTACCGATTCCCCTGTATGACTACTTTAGTTTATATGTAAAGAGCAGAAAGGATAAACCAGATCTGCAGTATGCTTAGGAGTAGGGAGTAGACACTTTATGTCAACGCCAGGGTTCCAAAACACTAACCTACAACCAGAATCTATTACATGTTCACTACTTAATTTCACTCAGTTTGTTAAAGGGCTAAAACATCCTTTAATTATTCCAAGAATGTTTTATGATATTTTAGAATAATATAGACATTCATTCACTTAATAAAAATATCTGACCCAAGCCTTAACTCTTAACTCATAATGCTTGAATCATCTTTGGTAGTTACAGAAGCTTTGTGCCTCAGTTTCCTCCTTTGTAAACATGCCGTAAAGTTGTGGTGAGTAAGTGAATGAACGCACTTGAAGTGTTGAAAGAAAATCAAACATTGGAGACATTACTTTTGGGGCAGAAGACACAATGACGGCGTTTCTGTGCTCCAAGTTATACGAGAAATAGTAGCTCAACACAACGCTCACTTATTATCTTAGTGTTTCTGTCGTCCAGAAATCGGAGAATGGCTTAGAGGCGTTCACTACTCCATAGCAGGGTTCAAGGCACCCACGGGCTATAGCTGTCTCAGAGTTCAATGGGGTGAAGCTTTTTCTGAACACAGAGTTGTTGTCAGGGTTTGCTTCATTAATAGCTGTTAGCCAGTGGTCAAGCCTAGTTCCTCATCATGGGCGTCTTTCCAACATGACAACTTGCCATTTTAAAGTGGACAGCTAAAGAAGCCAGTTGTGGTAATTCATATCTGTGACCCCGGCATTCAAGAAGGCTGAGATATGATAGTGCATTTGAAAATAGACTGTTTTATTTCATTAGACCCTGTTGAAGAAGGGGGAGGAGGAGAAGAAGGAGAAAGAGAAGTATAATAACAGAGAGCTGGCTACCAACCTAAGTCATCATCTTTGATAGTCTAATTATGGGAGTGATATTTCACTTTTGCCATGTTTATATTTTAGAAATACTGGATAGGTTAAGCCCACATTCAAAAGGGAATCATAATAGAAGCTTCCTATTTGGAGAATAAGAAATATAAACTTGAAGATCACATGTTTACTGGTAAAGGCAGACATTTATTAAAAATAGTTATAGAATAAAATAGTGATTACAAACTTTGATAAACACTTTAATGAACTGAAAATGCCACGTTTGGTGGCAATTACAGTATTTCTACCTCATTTGGAATATTTCAAATGAAAACAGCTCTGGAGTACTCTAAAAAGAGAGGAACTGGTGAGCGCAAGATCCATGGTTTTGTTTTGAAGAAATAACCTTGTGCCACTTGTGGCATAATTAAATGCTAAAGTAATTTTTGCACTCACTGTCGGAATCTCAAGTGGAAATATAGTTTAGGATGATAGTTCACGTTTCTCTAAACCATAGGCTGCTTTTTATTTTTTGGAATGAGATAAATCTGGAAACCATCTTCTGGAAGCAGTCTGAGGATTATGAGATTCAATACCCATGAAGCACGTTGCCCGCTGCTCAGCATGTGGATTCTAGCTCCCTTGATCACGAGTCCTTCAGTCCACAGTTGCAGAGAAGAGAACTTCTCCGGTTTCTTGGTTTATGTTTCAATGTCAGCTCCATAATCTTCAGAAATGATCACTTTTCCTTTACATTTCTTCCTTCCAAGACATAATTTTCTGGGATTTGCTTTTAGATAGGTCTGTCCTTTTCTGTAGGGGCGAGAGGCGGCATTCTCAGAAGAATCCCACAGTTCTCCTTGGCGCAGCTGATGACTTTTCTCTGACTGGGGAAGAGCGAGGGAGAGCATGTTTAAGGCCTCGTGCAGCTAGGAAGAAAGGAAGAGTGGTTCTAGCTTAATCCTCGCGAACCTTTTCTTTTTACATTTGAATATGAAAGTGAATATCTTTCATATTGTGGTGTGAAATAAAATCATAGAAAGACTTGTGATATTCTTTTGATCCCCTCTTCCTGGGATGACAGAGTAGCCAAACTGGTTTACTGGCCAATAAAATCAGTTAAGAGGCATGGTAAGAAAGCATCAAGTTTTTTTTTTTTTTGGATAGAACATCTATGGATATGTAAAAAATATGAATGTCTACCATTAAGCATGAGAAAAATAGAGACGCACATATTTTGGGCACATAGTGTATTTCCTATGGTATAAACGTTGTAATCATTGCATTTTCTTAAATAAGCAAAAGTTTTCCTAGGATGTTGTAGAAGGAACTTAGACTTTAAAGAGTTATAGTAGAGAAACTGTAATGATCTTACATTTCTAGGTAGCTATGCTTTATAATCTCATTGTTAAAGCAATGAACATGATACTTCTTTGTCCGTAGTGTGATGATCTTGCCTGAGAATTAGGAGAGTCGTTTTGATTTCAGGCTGATGCTGAAGTCCAGGATGTCTCCACACGAGCAGTGAGACTTTCCCTTCCGCACCAATCCCTCTGAAGCCAGCTGTTCTCTGCCGCACTCCAGTGTATCCTTCCGTAGATCTGACATGGGCTTACATCAAACAATTTCAAATATACGGCAGAAGAAAAGTAGAGTCTTGATAAATCTGTAGTTTCTTTGCCTTTTTAAATAAGGAAGTTGGTTTCAGGGTTTGCTGTTTTAAGAATTTTCTCTTGGGCTAGATGTGGTGGTCTATGCCTGTAATGTTTGCCCTGAGTCAGGAGGATAACCACAAACTCAAGATCACCCTTGGTATATACATAGTGCCTTCCAGGTTAGCCAGGGAAACAGTGAGACCCCGTCTCACAAAAGAAAAAGGAATGGTTTGCGTTATACACTTACTTACAGCTCTTTTGTCATGTGAGTTGACAAACCTGTTTTGAAAATTGATCAATTGAGGTGTATGGTTGCTTGAAGTAATGAATAGGGGCTTCCTTTCCTTTCCTTTCGGCACTTCCTTGGTTTAGAAAGCAAACAGGAACTATCCCTCAAGGATTATGTTATACATAGTGTTGTTCTGAGAGGTAGAGCCCAACTGGTGGACGATCAAGAGACGACAGGCCTCATTCAAAAGTAGACGTCCGGGTTCTGTTTCTCCAGACTGTCCCCTAGCAACGAGCAGCATGGAAGGAGGCAGCACATTTCCTGGCCACCGAAGAATCTGTGAGTCCAACAAAAGGCAGAGAAGAAACCAAGGGATAGAGGAGAGCCCATGAGAGAGATGACTCCATGCCTCCCTAGGGCCTTGCCCAAGGTTTCCTTGGTATGTGGTGGCTATTCTGTGGAGAGTCATTGATGAATGAATGAATATATCAAAGATAAATGTATCTGGACAGTAAAGTTGTGCTAGTTCCAAATCTTTGCTCTTTGGTCTTCGGAAAGCCAAATTAAGCACAGCTGCTCTTCAGACTAACAAGCCATTGGAACAAAGTCTTTTCTATTCTATTTCTGCTTATTTTTCCCCAAGGGTGCTGAAGAAATAAATGCATCACCCACTATTTACTCTTCAAAAGGACCAGCCATTTGTTCTTGACATCTTCTTAATTGTTCACATTCTGTGTCTGTTTAGATTTTCCAGCGCAGCTCTGCTCCGCGCAGTGTCTGGTTGTGTGATCCTGGTGACGGAAGTGAAGTGGGAGTTCCTGGCCGTGCCCTCTAACTTTGTCCTTTCCATATATCTTGGTGACATATTTTTCCAGGTACTAAATTATTATTTAACTTGACACCATCAAGGATAAAAATGCAGTTTTGAAATGTTTCAAAACTAGGTCGTTCAACTCTTCTAAAGAAAAATTTCTAGGCCAGTCAAGTTAATGAACCTGATACAGCACCAAGAGGCCTTGTGAGAACAGGATTGTAGCATCAGAGATTTGCTGAACATGAACCAACAGTAGGGTGAGAAACAGCAACCCTGCGCCTTGCAGAGGAATCAGAGAGCAAACGAGGGAAATCAGCACCACAGTGTCCTTTCCATTGGGTCATTCAACTCTGCCACAACTGTAAGCCAGCACACCTTACCAGAAAAACACAGAGGCCCTAGAGTCCCTTTTAAAACAAAAACCAGCATGGTGTGTATGCCTGTGTCCCAAACACTGGGACGTAAAGGAAGGGTGAGCAGTAGTTCAAAGGCTGTCTCTCAACTACGTAGTAAGTTTGGCCTAGCCTGAGCTGCACGAGGACTCCCCTCTCCTCCCAGATCTCTAGTATACTCTATACTGTTGCTCACTATATTTTTCAATTTCTATTCACAAAATGCTATGTGCAATACTAGTGTTTTAAAGTTCTGTCTGTTTATTGGATAGAATGCCTATTTAGACATATTTCTGGGCCCACCCTTGGTCTCCAGTAGGTACTTGATGGAGAACAGAAGCTTGTGTTTTTGACTGATGCAGGTTATGATGCTAATTTTTTTTGACTTTTGTTTGGATTGTTGTATTTAATTGTTCTTGTTTTTATTTCTATTTTTTTTTTTAAGATGAAGAGTCCAAGTTGACCTTAAATTCAGTGTGTAGCCACGGCATGTCATGGTGGAGAAGGTATGGTGGCAGGAACCCTGGTCACAGTGTGCCTACAGTCAAGAAGCAAAGTGAATTATGGTTGGTGGTCTGATCATGTTCTCCTTTTCATCCAGTCTGGGACTCCAGCTCATGGAATGCTGCTACTCACACCCAGGGTCAGTCTTCCCATCTCAATTAGCGTTTAGTTTTCACAAACATGCACAGAGGTGTGTCTCCTAGGTGACTCCAAGTTCTGTCAAATTGATATTCTATCTTAATAAAGCACACTCTTGCTAAATAGCTATCTCACAACCTTCCTGGGTGTCCAGAAAATCATCTTTACTCAGGGCCAACGATCCTACTCAGATCCTATTTAGAGTAGTGGCTGTATAATAGATTTAAAAAACTAAAGAGAAAATAAATGATAATAATTTATAGGAGACTGGGAGGAAGGTGACTTAGCTGTTATGAGTGTTTATGTTGTTGCAGAGAACCCAAGTTCAGTTCCTTGGCACCCATATCACGATACTCACAACTGCCTATAACTCCAGCTTCAGGGGCAGCAGATGCCTTTGACTTCCTGGGACATAAACACTCTTGTGTGCTTTCCTTGCCCTGCATGCATGAGCATGTGTGCACATGCACACACACACACACACACACACACACACACACACACACACACGATAGATGATGTTTTACCTGAAGGTCATAGCCATTCCTCAGTGGGCCTCATACACTCTCTGCTTTCCTCCCTTTCATACGACATGTCAAATTCTAACGAGTAGCGATTGTAATTCGTATGCTGGAATATGAATACAGTAGAAGGCACACAGGAGGTGGGACCTGAAGCTGAGTACGCTTGTATGCTTAGTACCATTTCTGTTAGCCACCTAACAGGATGATGAAACTCCTGAGCCCTCTGCTCCCACCTCTTGTGGTCCATGTGTACACAATGATGTCTGGCTCCTGTATTTTCTTAAAACTTAATCTTGATTTCCCATTTACTAGATGTCTTTCTTCTTCTTTTCTTTTTAATTTTTTATTGCACTATACATTTTTCCTTTCTCCCTTCTCTTCCCCTGCTCTTCCTTTCTACCCTCTCTCCCATGACCCCCAAGCTCCCCAATTTACTCAGGAGATCTTGTCTTTTTCCCCTTCCTATTTAGATCCATGTTTCTCTCTCTTAAGGTCCTCTTTGTTGTCTAGGTTCTCTGCGGATGTAGATTGTAGGCTTGTTTTTCTTCACTTTATGTCTAAAAGCCCCTTAATAGTAAATAATACTATTATTATCGCTAAGTTTAAAAATAGAAGTGTTGGTGTAGTCTCTAATTTCCTAAAACTCAAAATCCTCCTGCCTCAGCTTCCTGATGGTGCTGCTGTGGAACTTTCGACCTATCTTGCACCCCAGTGACACAGCCACATTCAATCTTCTCACCCATCTGCTTCTCCTCTGTTCTTACCACCTCCGTGATCACAGAATTCAGCCATAATGAGTCACAGCTCTGCAGGAAGGTTTAATGGGCTGCGCAGACATAACCTTTATTTTATGACCTGCCTTTGCTTCATCCCCAGATGAAGGTTACATTCACAGAACACACAATGTTCGGTAATCAGTTTATGAACCCTCTAAGTTTTCGGACACTCCTTGTCCTCAGGGCAGGACTTCACTTCTTTTTTGTCTATTTGATGGTGGCAGTGTCTGGGTAAATACAGAACAGCTGTTTTCATTTTTCCTGGTCATATCCTGTGGAAGGCTTGCTGAAACGATTCAGGCCCCACCTTGGGTCTCCAGTAGGAATTGGGCAACAGTTTGCATTTCCAGCTGATGGTGATAGTGATGAGGAGTCACTCTCTGAGAACCACCTCAATAAGAAATTCTGACCTCTCTTTAAGTTCAAGTGTAGGTGAAAGGGTATTTGAATCACCTTGAGGCCAGGGGGCCTCACAACCAGAGGTCTTTATACCCAAATGTGTGCTAATTACAGGCTCAGTATAAACAGGGGTTCCCTGTACCATTTTTGTTATTTCTAACCCTTGGGCTCTTGAAACTGGGATGATGATGTTCAAAAATTAAAATTGTTTAGATGTGAGTGTAAAAAAACAAAACAAAGCACCCAGAACAACCGATGTGGGCCAGCAGTACACACTGATGTGGGCCAGCGGTGCACACTGTCATGGGTCAGCTGTACACACTGACGTGGGCCAGCTGTACACACTGATGTGAGCACACAGTACACACTGATGTGAGCCAGCGGTGCACACTGACGTGGGCCAGCTGTACACACTGACGTGGGCCAGCTGTACACACTGATGTGAGCACACAGTACACACTGAGGTGAGCCAGCGGTACACACTGACGTGAGCCAGCTGTACACACTGACATGGGCCAGCGGTGCACACTGATGTGAGCACACAGTACACACTGATGTGAGCCAGCGGTACACACTGATGTGAGCCAGCAGTGCACACTGACGTGGGCCAGCTGTACACACTGACGTGGGTCAGGTGTAAATAATGACGTGGGCCAGCAGTACAGGGTGGGTGGTGACAAAGAGTTCAATAGCGGAGGCAGAATTTCAAGAAAGTGAAGGTCTTTCCTCCTATTTTCCTTGCATTTTTAATTCATTATTTCGTTTCTTCCTGTAAATCCTGGTAACAACAATGCAAAAGCAAGCCCAGGGTTAACCCGGGGCCAGATGTGGTGGGAATGTTCACGAACAGCTGGCTGCATAAATGTGAAGGGAGAATGTACAAGAGAAGGCCAGGCCCCTGTGGGATAGTGGGAGGATGGAGAGCTTCCGCCTCGCGCTCTTTTCAGACGGAGCCGAGGGGACTTAAGGGTACGCCCTCCCTCAGATATCACCCCACGTCTGAATTATCTGAGCAGTGAAAACTTTGCATGAAGTATATCATAGTAAACGCTTAGTAAAATTATGTCAAATAGGCCAAGGCTTTGCCTCAGTTTGCTACCAGGTGACTACTGCAATTTCTACGAAACATACTCATCCAGACACTGGGAAATAATTGGTTCCCTGATCTCACTGAGGTTAGGTTAGAAGAGAAATTATTAAGCCAAGGAACCAGTGAATCAACAATTTTGGACAGCTTTACAGAGGGGTCTAAATATTCTCCAGAAAGCAGAACCAAGAGGGTGTTAATTGACTACAAAGAATTACCTCCTGGGAGGCCGATGATCTTTAGGATGGATGGTGTGTCAGGTGGAGGCCAGGGCAAGCGGGAGGGGCCATTCTATTTCAAGCCGGAAAACCTAAGAACCAGGAGAACTTGTGGTTTAATTGCTAGCTCCACTGAGTCAATTATTAATCTTACCCTGAATAACCTTAACCACACAACCCAAAATAATGTTCAGCCTGGACATCCACTCCACAGCCAGTCAAGTAATACGCAAAATGACCCGCAGCATCAACATGCAGGAGTAAGGCTAACAACCAAAGCAGCAAGGCAATCCTGTGGCTGGGTGAGATGATCAACCCAAATCAACTGAGCACTAAGTGAAGAGAGTAAAACAGTAGGGCCCTAGGGAGATGGAGTTAAGAACACTGGGTGCTCTTCTAGAGGACCAAGTTCAGTTCCCAGTACCCTGGAGAGAGCTCACAATTGTCTCTAATTCTAGATCCAGGGAACCCACTGCTGTCTTCTGGCTGGCTCCTGTGGGTACCAGGCACGTACGTGGTGCACATAGATCTACATTCAGGTAAAACATTCATCCACATAAAATAGAACTGAAATCAAATAAAAACGCTAACTTATGGTAGGCTCCTCTTGACCTTTTATCATTATTGGGCTTCACTGAGGAAGTAGTTCGGTATTTCAAGGTTGACACAGTTTGTTTAAGATCACAATTACTTTTTGAATTATGTTATCATGGAATTATTTCCTGAGAAGAATGTCCCTGATAATATATGTTTAAATGCAGATTTCAAACCATAGAAAGTGAAATGGTGTGGTAATAGTAAATTCAGTGTCTCTGGGCATGTTCTTCCCAGGAGCATTGTGTGCTGCTCAGAGGATGCGGCCATTTTCTGGACCCCTTTACAACAAGGGGGCGTTGGCATGCATGCTCCCCTTTTTCAACCTAAGGCACAGAGAGAGACACTCGGGACTTGTTACTTAAATGCCTGAGAGTCGGCAGAGTGTTTTCCGCTATGTGGGCTGGCTTTATTTCTCGGGAACGGTAAACTTCATTTAAAGATGTCAGGGCTCACATGCTCTTCACTAAGTCACTACTTCTATGAAGTTTTTGTTTTATAAGAGCATTTTAATGCCCATCAAACCCTCAGAGTGTCCTTTTTCACAAGTGCTGAGTTCCTCTTTGACCTTAGTAGACGTTGAGTCTGGTGTCATAGCCGGGTGGAAGGTGGAGACGTGAATCTGGCAGAGAGAAGCGGTGATCACAGAAAGTTCTGAGTGCAGAGCCAAGGTTTGTGGGCGTCATTAGCTAGGAATCGAAGTCTGGATTCTGCTTAGCTCTTGGGAGATGGTGGACGTCCCTTTTCTCCATCTTATCTAATATTGGGCATAGCAAAGCAATTGTAGAAGGAAGCAGGCTTATTAAAATACTTTGAGAGAAGGGATACAATTCAGTAAGCATGAAGGTTGTGACTCCCTGTAGCTCAGCTTCTTCCTTGACAGTCACAGACTTGATATTGAAATAAAGTAACCCCTGCCTCTGCCAAACCTGCTCCAAGTGACAAACATGAGCCCCTTTTTTTCAGATACTTCCTTTAGTTTATAATCCAGCAGTTGAAAAGTTTATGGTTCAGCTGGGCAAACACAGGATCTAAAACTGCATATATTTGAGCCATAAAACTGAAGTCAAATTGGTGATCTGGGTTTTTCAAGCTTTCTTCTCAAAAATGGGCAAACAGGAACTGGTGAGAGCAGACGGGGGAGCTGTTTGAGCCCAGCTCAGCAAACTGCTTGCAGCCATAAAAACTGGATTTGTTTTCCAAGATATATTATATAAATACATATGAATAAAACATTTACCATATATTTAACACTTAGATATGTAAAATATAATTTAGACCAAATTAATGATTAGACTCCTACTAGGTGCTGTATGTAGCTCCCACAAGCACTGTTTTAGACACAGCTACTTGCTGCTGCCGACTAGACTTTGACCAGCATCTGGTAAATAGCCTTCTTACATAAGTGACCATGAACAGAAAGCAGCAGAACACAGTGAATTTCTGCATAGTTCATTTAGATCTTAGGAGCTTAATTCCCTCTCCCATGAAATAGGTTTTCTGCCCCAAATAATAAGTTTCTCTGTTGATGTAGTGAACCAGACCAAGCTGAGTTGGGGAAGTATAACAGCAGGTTTCTTGAGGGTAAAACAACTCCCAGGCAGATTCACCAGTCCCATAGATCAAGGCCAGAGAAGTCACACGCCTGAGCCAGGATAGGAAGATTTTATAGATTGTTGGGGAATGGGGATGATATGTCCACCACAAGTTGGGTTTGTGCCCAAGTACTATCAAAAGCTTGGAGCTAGGGGATTTGGGTGACTGGTGGTATCAGGGAGGGAGGAAGCTTCAATACTCATCAAGGATGTCGAACTGGGTTTTTAGTAGCTTTTCTTTGTTCAGAGACTCTGAGTGAGTAGGAGAGAGAGAGAGAGAGAGAGAGAGAGAGAGAGAGAGAGAGAAACAGAGACAGAGAGAGACAGAGAGAGAAAGACAGACAAATGGGACTTCCTGAATCATGTTGAGTCTAGCTGGAGACTTCAAAAGAACACCACTACAGTCTCATTCTTTTTTAATTTTGTGCCTGTTGATGACTCTTAAACATAGCTCCAGAAAGCATCCTTCCTTGTCAGAATTTTTTTCTAGAATTTGACTCCAAACACCTTTCTAGTCTTTAAACCACCTAGGGAAGATAACCACCAAACCAAAACTCTCCTACAATTCTCTGCCTCCTTCCATTCCTTTTTCTAAATAATTGTTTCAACTATGCCTGCGGTTAGGACTAGAAACTTAAAAGGATCACATTTCCAAAGATAGTATCATCAGAGATACGTTAAAGCTCTCTCTCCAGGAGGCCTCAGGCACTGGTAGTGTGGCAAGGCCCGGCTGACGTCCTCGTCCAGTCAAGGCTGACACCGTCCTTCCTTCCGTCCGGGACTGTCTGTGGGATTCCTGCCTTTGCTGTCTCTTAAGCCTCGGAAGATGGAGATAATTTCCTCTCAAATATCAATATTTCTCTTTCCAGCTGTAGAGTCTACATAGCAGCTCCAGGAAAAATACCTCCCCCCTCCCAGCATCCTGTTCAACAAGGATGAAACAGCAAGCTCCAGTGAGGAATGTGAAGAAGGGCTTCCTGCCTTCCTCAGCCTTGGCCCCCTAAAAGGGAGATGACCATAAAGTGAAACACCACCAAGTATTTGTTCTGCAAATGAGTTCCACAGATGTGCACCATCAGCTTGGTTTCTATCCCCTCATGTTCAGGCCAAATGAAAGCAGAGGTTCCATGTGGCTGGTGTCTGTTCTTCGCTCCCTCCTTGTGGATGAGATGCATGTTGCTAAGGCTTTTTTGTTGTGGCTTAGCTCGTCGTGGTTTGGTTAGAGTGGTTTGTAAAATGAGTGTAGCTGAGAGAAATTTTCCATCCGTGAAAATGAGGAACACCCCTCTAAAATCTGAGGAGTAAAGGAAGAATTCTGTTACAAAACAGCGAGTTGCCCCAGAAACCCAGTGATGACAACCTGCGTAGGCATGCAGAAGCAGATGCCTGTGGTGGGGATAACTTGGCATTTGGAATCTAGAACCTCCATTCCGGCTTCGAGGCTGGAGGCTGGTGGAGCTGTGGTTAGTCACTGGAGGCAGGAGTCTGCATCCAGTAGCTCGAGAGCCACTCCTGGACTTGGCTGTTGGCAGGGCGAGTCTTTGTTCTGTGCCTCAGTTTACTCATGTGTAAAGTGGGGAACACAGTGGTACCTACATCACGATTTTCATCAAGATTAAATGTGAAAGCTATTTTATATGAGCTATAAGATTCTAAATAATCACCAATTGAACATTTCACATCTTTCTCCTCTTCGAACTCCTCATTGTTATCAGACAATCTGTAACTTTCCAAGTCCCTCCCTTCAATTCCGTGATTCTACATTGCTAGGCAGTTTTCTCAATTTTAATAAATCAAATGAATGGAGAGCCATAGAGCATTGTGTTTTCACCAATTAATGACGTGCCAGAACTTTATTTTCTTAAAATACATGAACCGTGATTAAATAGCAGCTCACAGCTCAGGAGGAGCTGTCCTCAGGATGACCGAAGCAGCCCCTTGTCCCTGATATGCTGTGAGTATAGAGAACTGGGCCCCAAGAAGTCACCAGGAACCCCTACAGTTTAGCCTCAAACTTGCAGTAACTGGGCTTTGCGTCCTGCCTGGCTCCCACTGTTCCCTCTACCTGGAATTGGCTCCATTAGGTTGCAGAATGCAGACCTGTCCTCTTAAGTGACCTGCTCAGTCGTGAGCACTCTCATTAATTAGATCCTCTGCCCTGCAGCCATGGAACACGTCAGCATGGATGGAGACTGTGGAGTCCAGAACAGTAATAAATCTTTCCGATTTGAAATCATTTCTCTTATGTATTTTGATGGCTGAAAGACTAACTCTGCTGCTAACAGTAGCTGGTGGCTACTGAACTTAGTATTTTCAGGATCGTTCTCTCCTTATTAGTGCAAATTACTTTATTCTCCCTGTGCTATTTGTGGCTTCTTGACATTTTCTAATTCACTTGGACTACTTGATTGTGAACTACCATCTCCTGCTCCCTATGTAGACTGAATTTCTCAAGAGAAAAGCCTGTGCTTGTTTACAACTTTTTCCCCCAAGGTGAACCTGAAACAGGTGTCCAATGTTTTCCGAAGGACGACTGGCTTCAAAAGCTTTCTTGAGCTATAAATGTCATACAATTATATGCTCTAGCTGTAGGGCACAATCTGAGTTTTGAGAGATGCTTGTAGTGGTTTAAATGATCCCAGGATGTGTTATCCAGCATACGTATGGCCCCTCCAACTTCCTTTGTCTCTCTGCAGTCAGTTTGCTCCCACCCACACCTGCTTCTCGGTAAACTCTCTCTTGCTTTTGATTTCTGTAATTTTGCCTTTTGTTTAAATTTAAGTCACAGGGAATTACATATTATGAAATCTTTGCAGCCTAGCTTCTTTCACTTAATTTGTATGTTTATTTTGTTATTATTGTTTTGTTTGGGTTTTTGAAATGGGGTTCACCATGTAGGTCAGGATGGCCTCAAACTCTCAGAAATCTGGATATGAAGCCTAATAAATCTTTGCCGAGCTGAGCTTATTCCAGGCATTTTATCACAACAGGGGAAAGGTAACAGAGCTACCAAAATGAAGCGGAGTGAGGACAGATAATGTCCCCACGTGACTGATTTAAAAAACACTTAAGTTTGTTCTAACTGGAGTGAGATGGGATCCCAGAGTTGTTTTAATTTGGATTTTCCCCATGGCTGAAGATATTGAGAATCTTTTTTTTTCAGTTTTTTTATTGGCCAGTTATATTTCTTCTTTTGGAAACTATCTGTTCTGTCCATTAACCCATTAATTTGGGTAGGTGACTTCCTTGGGTGTTAACTTTGTCAGTCATAGGCTAGCTATCCGTCCTCTTGTGTTGTAGGCCGCCTCTTTCCTCAGGCCTGTTTCCTTGCTGTGGAGTTCTTCATGCAGGCTCTCTCTGCACTGATGTCACCATTTGTGAATTTTTGGTTTTAGTTGTTGTATTGGGGTCTTTCCAGAAAACCCTTGTGTCAGACTACACCTTAAAGCACCCCGTCCTCACTGTCTCCCAGCAGTTTCAAAGTTCCTGGTCTAATGTTGAGGTCTCTGATCCATTTTTAATTGATTGTGAGCAGACTGGGGGTCATGGATCTAGTTTCACTCTTCTGCAGAGGAATCTGTCTTTTCTCCATGATCTGCAATTTTTTTTACAGTGTGCATTTTTTAACATTTTTGTCAAAAACTCAGCTGTAGCTGTGCTGTGTGTTTATTTATGACTTTTTTTTCCTTTAGTCTGTGTGTCTGTCTCTGTGTAAGCTTACTATGCTTTTGTTACTGTGAATCTATATGAGGTTGGATACCGTGGTACCTCAGCATCGTTCCTTTGCTAAGGATTGACTGCATTGCCCATTGAGACTCTTTGGTCCATTCATACACTATTTTATTAGTGCTTTCAAGACTATAATTGGGTTTTGATGGGTATTATGTAGGCTCTGTAGATCACTTTTGCAAACATTGTCATTCTTCTAATATTCGTTTTCCTGATCTACAAACTCTGTCTACTTTCTAGAACTTTCTTCAAATTATTCATGGTCTTAAAGTTCTTGCTGTAGAAGATGTTCTTCTCCTATAGCGTGAATAACAAAAACCCAGAGATAGATATTGGGGTTCAACCTGAAGGTCAGAAAAGCAAAAGCAGCCAAGCTACTAGAGAGCTCTTTCCTCTGTGAAATCTTCACACTGAAAAAGCAAGTTCCTGTCTCAACCTGCCTTATATTTCTCTCCAGTGCTGGGATAAAAGGTGTACACCACCACTGCCTGGCCTCTATGGCTAACTATTGTGGCTGCTGACATTAAAGGTGTGTGCGACCACCACCTGACCTGTATGGCTGACCAGTGTGGCTGCTTTGTGTTCTGTTCTTCAGGCAAGCTTTATTTGTTAAAATACAAATGAAATATCAGCACACTGTCCTTTGTTGGGTTTATTCTTAGGATTGTATATCTTTTTAATTAAAGTTTTATTTTTAAAAGTTAAAATATAATTATATCATTTTTTTACTTTTCTTCCTCCCTTTCTTCTAATCCCTCTCATGCTTTCCTTGTTTTCTCCCTCTCAAAATCAAGTTTATCACCAAAGAAAGTCATAACAGGTACTCAAACAGGGCAGGAACCTGGAGTCAGGAGTCAGGAACCTGAAGAGGCCCTGGGGGAATGCTACTTACTGACTTGCTCCTTATAGCTTGCTCAGTATACTTTCATTTTTGAATTAATTAATTAATTTTTAAAGAACATCTTTGCTTATTTTACATACTAATCCCAGTTCCCACTCTCTCCCCTCCTCCCACTCCCTCCATCTTCCCCCCATCCACTCCTCAGACAGGGTAAAGTTTCCCATCGGAAGACACCAAAGTCTTGCACATTGCTTTGAGGCAGGACCAAGGCCCTTCCCACTATATCTAGGCTGAACCTAAAGAGAATGGGTTCCAAAAAACCAGTACAAGCAGTAGGGATAAATTCTGGTCTTACTGCCAGTGACCCCACCGTCTTCCCCAATCATACAACTGTCACCCACATTCAGAGGGCCTATCTTGGTCCTATGCTGGTTCTCCGGCTGTCAGGCCAGAGTTAGTGGGCTCCCATTAGCTCAGGTAAGCTGTTGCAGTGGGTGTCCCCCAAATGGTCTTGAACTCTTTGCCCGTATTATCGTTCATCTCTCCCTTCGACTGGACTTTGGGGGCTCAGCCCAGTGCTCAGCTGTGGATCTCTGCATCTGCTTCCATCAGTTGCTGGATGAAGATACTATGGTGACATTTAACACAGTCATAGATCTGACTACAGGGCAAGGCCAGTTCAGGCCCCCTCTCCACTACTGCTTAGGGTCTTAGCTGGAGTTATTATTGTGAATTTCTGGGCATTTCTCTAGTGCCAGGTTTCTTGCTAGCCCCATAACAAACAAGACTCACTCAATCAATATATCTCTTTCCTTGTTCTCCCTCTCTGTCCTTCCCCCATCTCGACCATTCTGTTCCCTCGAGTTCTCCTCCCCACTCCCCTTCCTCCTCCTCCCGTTCTGCTCTCCCTTCTACCTCCACCCCATACTCCCAACTTCCTCAGGAGATCTTGTCTATTTCCCCTTCCCAGGAGGTTCTATGTATATTTCTCTTAGAGTTCACCTACTTTCTCATAGAACCCAGGACCACTAGCCCAGATGTCCCTACCCACAATAGTCTGGGCCCTCCGACATTGATCACCAGTTAAGAAAACGCATTGCCGCTGTGTCTTTCTGAGGCGTTTTCTCAGTTGAGACTCCCTCCTTTCCAGTGACTGTAGCTTGTGTCAAGTTGACAAAACTAATCAGCACAGGGGACATATTCTTCTACTTCTAAGTCATTTTTTTTCATTCTCAAAAGATACTTTAAAATTACGCTGATGAAAGAAATTGTGAGGCACTTTATAGGTGGCATATATATTCATTTTATAAATTATATGAATCAAAAATGATGAGAGGAAATAAAATATCTATGCTCATCTACACTAATTTTTGAAATTCTGATGACTAGGGCTCCATATCAAAACATGATCCTGTAAGGTGTACTGATGTAGGAAGTCCTTCTGTATATGTGTTGTTTTTATTGCTTTATTGGTTAATGAATAAAGAAACTGCTTTTGCTTGTGATAGGGCAGAGTAGACCTAGGTGGGAAAACTAAACTGAATCCTGGGAGGAAGAAGGCAGAGTGAGGGAAAAGCCACGTAGCTGCCGCCGGAGCCCACCGGAACCTTGTTGGTAAGCCACAGCCATGTGGATACACAGATTAATAGTAATGGGTCAATAAAAGACATAAGAACTAGCTAGCAGTATGCTTAAGTGATGGGCCAGGCAGTGATTTAAATAGTGTAGTTTCTGTGTGATTATTTTTGGGCTGAGCAACTGGGAAGGAACTAACAGTTTCCACCAACAGTGTACTGAGCTCCTTTCTGGAGATGATCCTGGAAGGTGTACTGAGCTCCTTTCTGGAGATGATCCTGGAAGGTGTACTGAGCTCCATTCTGGAGATCCTGGAAGGTGTACTGAGTTCCTTTCTGGAGGTGTGGAAACGGAGTCATTGGAGAGGGTAAATAACCCAGATTCGCCCAGGTTATGTAGCTATGATAGTATTTTTGGCTACACTAGGCCCAAAGGAGATGCTTTCCAAATCTTCTTATATAACACAGCAGAGTAGTGATCCACCTGGGCTACACTGGCCCACTGGTGCTCTTTAAAGCTCCAGAGGCCCCATTCCCACCCTACAATAATAACTGCCATTCATACCCAAACATCACTGTGTATTTAAAACAAAAAAGTAATAATACATTGAGGTACTTTTGCTATGCAACCTAAGGCTATAATTCTTTGGTCATGCATACCTAAGGATAT